TGAAACTATTGTATAACGCACAATACATTACATTATGCTGAGAATTTTCATTTGCATTACAAAATGAGCAATCTGTTGAATCAAATCTATCATCAAGTTGTTGTATATAGAATTTGAAATAATCATGTTCTAGTTTCAGATGAATTAAAGATGAGAATATTTTCTTTTTATATTTAATTGAATGAGATTTTCACTTTGATTTTATCTCAAATCTTGAATAATGTATGCTCTTCTTTTGTTTCTGTCAGCTTTCATTTCACTTATTTAAACAAGATTCTTTTATCTTTCTCTTTATGAAAGATCAGAACACTGTTTTTTAAATAGATCTGCTTAATTCTGAACTCTTTTTTAAAGCTGAATCAGTCAATTCATTACTATGAATATTCATATAAGCAGGAACTCAATGCAGATAAATTATCAGTTTTAATATTTTCTCTTTTGAATTTTTAAAACAGAGTTTAAAATCAGTTCAAGATTCATTTGATCATTATGAATCTGACTATTTCTAAGTCTTTTTAAAGCAGCTTGACTATCAGAGAATATTCATATCTCTTTCAAACTATTTTCTCTTTTATGAGATTTTATTTCAATTAGTTTGAAAGCTTTCACTATTACAAATAGTTCAGTATCAAAGACTTCAGATTCACAGTCTAAATTTCAGAAATCTTAGATAAAATTAATATTATCTTCAGTATAAGCAATGTCTGTGTCTAATCTATTTAAATTCTCATTTTTTGAGTTATCTGAGTAAATCAGAATAGAGTCTTTCATATTAATTGTAGAGATTTTCTTCAAGTGCTGTTCATATTCTCTCTCTTTAGATAGTTCACTTATTTGTAAGTCTATGAGAGATTTCAGCTTTTCTCTTTAGAGAGATATCTTCTCATGATCAATTTTCTCAACATTTAATGAAGAAAGTTAATTTTCAATAAGTGAACATAGTCTATACAGTTGAGAGAGCATTTTCTTTAAAGTATTATTCTCATTTCAATCAAGAAATCTATTTCAATTCAGTTTATTGCCTGAGTTAACTGATGAAAATAAAGAAGAGACTCTTTCTCTGATTATATAATTTAAGCTCATCTTCATGACTCTTACAGCATAGTTCATACAGGTGTTTTCAAATTAAATAGCAGAAGATGAAATTGAAGCTTCAATTTTTATTACTTTAATAGTAGATGATTTGAATGCTTTCAGAATTCTTCTCAAATCTCTGTTTTATAGACTTTGAATGAGTTCAGTGAAATTATCTTGATTGTTTCATCAAACTTGAACTTCATAATCAGCTACTAAGATAATACAAACTATGTATAATTATATTATATTCTGAAGGAATAGATCTCTCTCAGTATTTGATAGTCTGATTATACTATTCAGTAGTCTCCCTGCCTTGATGATTCTTTGTTAAATATGATATTTAAAATTCAACTTGAAGTTTAACCATACTTCTAGTCATTTGACATTCAAACTGGGTTTAATCTCTTTATTTAAAAGAGTTAGACTTAGTTCTTTCTCATTAAATCTGGAAAAAAAGTGAATTAACTTAGTTTTATTCATATCAAATTGAATTAGATTGATATCTGCTTTAACAAAGATTTTCTTTACTGCTTTCTCAATCACTTCTAAATTCTCTTTGATTGTCTTTAAACTGTAGAGTAGATCAATATCATCTACATAGCTTGAAGATCTCACTATTTTCATTTCTCTATTCTTAAATAGATATGCAGTGTATATTGTAAATAAAACAGATAAGATTGAAGATTCTTGTGATACTTTTATTTTTATCTCAGTTTTATCTTATTATCTTTCATCAAAGATTAGTTGTATAATTCTTTTAGATATAAAATAATTAACTCATTTTATTAGAGAAAGTGACAGTTTTAACATCTTCAAAGTTTGAATCATCTTAGACTTTGAAACATGATCAAATATATCTTTTATATCAATAAAAACTGCAGTTGAGACTAGGTCTTCATACTTTGTTACTTGAATACTATGAATAATTGAAATAACAGTGTCAATTTGAGAACATTGTTTTCTATCTCTCATTTATTCATTAAATAGAAGAGAATCACTAATAGAGCTTATAAAAGATAATCTAGTAGCTATTATCTTTTCTAGAATTTTCTTTAAACAGTTTAACAGAGATCTTACTCTATATAACTTAGAAATTGAAGCTTTTCTATTAGGTTTTGCAAGGATTACTTTAGTAGCTTCTAAACTGACCGCTGAGACCATGAATTTCACGTTTGATCTCATTTGGTCTGATCCCATACATTTCTTGGCGTGAATCCCACTGGGACTGACTATTAAAAAAACATGTAAAGTGACTATATATCAGATCTTAAAATGGAATCATAACTTGAAAAAAATGAGAAAGTGATCTCATTTGATCTCATTTAGTTTCATTCTTGATATAAAGTTACTATTTTTAGACATTTTAAGGTTTCTTTTAGACTATTTTTAATTTTTAAAAAAGTAACACTTTTTGATAACACTTAAATAAGATTTAAAGTCATTTAAAGCAATAAAAATAATTTAAATTGAGAAGTGAAAATCATGATCTCATTTGAAAAATGTGACAAGAGTAGACAGTAAGTCTCACTGAGATAGTATGAAACTACTATCTAATATTAAAACCGTGTAATGAGATCAGTTAAATTGATAATGAAACTATCAAAAAATCTGATTCTGATCTCAGACACGGTCACACGGTCAGTCTAGTAGCTTCTCTTCAGTATTCAGAATGATATTCATTTTTTAAGAGATTGAAAAAGAGCTCAAAATATTCATTCTTCAAGTAGAAATATGTGTTTTAAATAATCAAGTGATTAATTGAATCAGGCCCTGTAGCAGTTTTAATTGAACTTGAGAATATTACTAACTCTAGTTCATCACATGTAAGCTCAAGTCATTCCCAGTTATTTTTATCAATATATTCATGAAATGACATATTCTTCTCTTCTAAATATGATAAGTTTTGAAAGAGAATTCTTATAAAAGCTTGATATTTTTCTCAAAAGAGTTTACTGTATACAATTCATTCTGAAATTTATATTCTAAGGTTGAAAGCTTTGCTACACTTCTTGTTTTAGTATAGTTAAAGACTTTAAAAACTTCTTTTTCTTATACTTCTTGAAGAAATTTATTTCAGCAATCTGTTTTGACTCTTTTAATATCTGAAAAATATTCATTTTGAATAGCTTTGAACTCTTTATCAGATATTAAGTTATTCTTTCAATCTCTCTTAGTAGTGACTAATTACTTTCTTTTGAAAGTGATATTCTCATTTCATCAAGATTTGAAATACTTAGAAGACATTTTCTTTGAAATATTTTCTTCAATACTTGTTAGAAGAATAGATATAATCAGCTTTACTCTATTCTCAAGCATTTCATTTGAGATATCTTGACTTTGATTTCAATAGAGCTTACTCTGTCTTTCAGATTTCAGCTGTTTTACTCTTTCTTTCACTACTTTTCAATTAGCTTTTTCAAAGTTATCTCTCTATATATTAAAGAAAAACCAACTTTTCCGTGCAACAAACGCTGTAACGTGACCTCACATGACATCACGTTCACCTCATCAAAAATCCATGGATATTCATACGGGAAGAACGTAGGGTTATTACACGACTGAATTATAATTATTCTATTATTTCAATCAGTGACACGGTCACTGAGCTGTAAATCATAGTATAATAATGAATAAATAGTGAAATCATCATAAATAAGTGATAAACTGAAAAAATCAATTATTATATTAGCAATGTCACTGAATTCAATCTATATAATCACTAATTCTAAAAATCATCTCATTCACTGATATTGTCTTCTATTGAAAATCACAGATACTTCTATCTAAATTCTTCTGAATTAACTGAATCAAGTTTCTTTCATAGTCTTCATTCTCAGTTATATTACTCTCATTGATCATATCACTGAACTTATAAATTGAGGTTTATAAATTAGTCATGATCTGAGAGACACTGTCATCAGTTATCTAATATTTGAGAGTTGAGGTTTCAGAGTGATCAGATGCTGAGTGTTTAAAAGTCTATATAATTATTAATCTCTGAATAAATCTGAGAATCATTTCACTGACTCTAGCTTACTGTTTCAGTGATTGATTTATAAGTCTGAGAACTCAGAACACTTATCAGAGTCAGAAAATTGAAGAAGAAGAGAGAAGAAGAATTAACAGTAATGACAGAGAAATCAGTGAGAGTTGTAGAGAGAGAAAGAGAATTATCACTATTAACAGATTTCTTATCACTGCTACTCTCATCAACTGTATTACTGAGAAGTTTAATAATTATTTCAAATTAATTTATTATTTCATACATTTCAATGAAAATGTGCTGTACTTTCTCTCTGACACTGTTAATTAAGTTTATGAGATTCTTCATTATCACTTTTTAATTCTTATAATGATTATTAACTGATCTCAAGATCTCTCACTGAATAGCAAGCTTCATGTTTTCAATATTCAATTTTATCTTTTCAATGATAATTTTCTTCTTCTTTATAATGATTTTCTTCTTTTTGATCTTCAATTTAGTTCTTTCAATATTCAACTTGATCTTCTCAATTTCAAGTTTGACTTTTTCAGTAGAACTGATAGATATATTCAAGGCTTTCAATGTAATAGCTACACTCTTCATTTTTTAATTTTCTGCTTTCTGCTAATGTGTCTTTGCTTTCTTGATTTGCTTGAATAAATTCTTCACTGTCTTCAGCATGGCTGACTTGACTGATTCCTTCATGACTGTTGAAATGACAAGATAAAACTCATGAGTTTGAACTAGATTTTCAATTTTATCTTTGAATTCATTGAAATATATTGTGCAATCTTTCTTTTCATGATTGCAGTTTGAACATGACTTTATACTTTCTTCAACTTTGTCACAAACAGCATCAATATGACAGAGAAAGATATATGAGATGCAATATTTATACATTGTTAACTTGTCTGACTGATTGAGAGTTTTTGACCTGATCACTGTCTCTTTCTCTTATACTTTTACAGCTGCTGCATGCGTACACTTAGAAGTGTCACTGATCATTTGTGCTGCTGTTATTATTGTTATTACTGTTATTAATACTGTTGTTGATGCTGTTATTGATGCTGTTGTTGATGCTATTATTAGTACTGATATGATGATTTGCTGATATTCTTACTGTACTGTGCACACACAGTATCTTATATTAGAACTTTTGATTCTTAAAGCTTTCTATTGCAACTGGCAGAATACTAATCTTACTGAAGATGAGAAAAGACTGAGTGAGCTGAGTGAGCTGATAAATTAATGTTCATATTATAATATAATTGCGAGAAGAAAGAAGAAAGAAAAGAAAAGAAGAATGACAAGTTAATATTCTCTTTATATGTGTTATTGATTCTTTTGTGTTACTATGCAATAAATACTTTCATACTTCAGAAGACTTTCAAACACAATCAATCAGTGCATCTGACAGATTTCATTTATATCTTATTTTCAGAATAAATACTTTCTGCACGGGCTATCATTGAATGAACTACAGCTATTTTGAATATAAAATCATTTCTATTAATCAGAAACAAGTGTTTAATATACTATCAGAAATATATCTACAGAATTTCAGATGAATAAGAAGATTTTCTGATGCAGTGAAATCAGTGATTCTGCTGCAGTTATAATCATACAAATTTTAGAGAATATAACAATTTTCATCAGTAAATATCAAGACAGGTATATTCTAATTATATATATTAAAGTATATATTAACTAATTTATATATAAAATTCATAGAAAACTAAATATATTGAAATAGAAATAAGTTGTGTCAGAACTCTTTGTATCACTGAACACTCTACATTGCAGGCCTGTCTTTTATCAGAAGTATATCTGAAAATTTTATCTTTTTCTACATCTTCTCTCATACATCTTTTATTATATGTCTTTTTTTAACTGTCAGAGTATTCTGAATTGTCTCTGCAAAATCATCTCTGACAATTTATTGATATTTGAGAACATTACTTATAAGATCTTAAAATGTCAGAATATCTTATCATTACAGTATAGCTTCAGTGGAATTTTCATTTGTATCAGCATTATCAAATATTTTGACTTGAGTTATCAGATTTGTATATATCTCTATTTTTCAGAATCAGTTTCTTGTTTCTCAGTCTGATGTTTTTCAAACTGATGTTAACTTATGTTTCATATATCATTGTTCTCACTCAGAGAATTAATCAAAGTCAATGATTCTTCACACTCAGTAAAAAATCAAGAAGAACTTTTCAGTGATAAATAAATTACAAAAATAGTCAAAGATTGTTGACTCTTTATAGCAGTTATACAATCTGATTATCACTGAACTTTCTCTGCTTTTTGTCTTCTTCTGTTGAACATGATTCTATATTAATAAATGATTAGTTAACTTGATCAGATAAGTTTTGATATTTCACTGAAAAGTTTAGATTTATCTAAGATTTTCTGCTGAAAAGTTGATATATCTCAGCAGAGATTTAAGATATTTCACTGAAAGATCAAGATATCTCATCAGACACTTGATATATTCTGCTGAAAAGTTGAGATTTTTGCTAAAATCTGAAATACTGAAAATACTTATCTTCATTTCTTTTAATGTTCTTGACTTTCATGTCTTTATTGTATTAAGCATTGTAATTCAGCTTGATGAGAATATGTATAAGATTTTATCCTTTATTTTCATCATCTCTGTGACTGTCTTGTTCAGATTGTTCTTTGAGAATGTAAGAAAATACATTCATCTGATTTTAACATGAAGCTTTTATTCTGTCAGCTGAATTTCCTTCTCATACACTTCTGTATCTGAGTGCTGAATTCAGTGACATCTCTTTAACAGATCACTGAATATCAGAAATGATTTTGATTTCTCATCTGTCTGATATTCTTTATTAATGTCATTATGTTCATTCTATGATACAGATATATCAATATATGATTTCTTTTGAAATCAGTGATTTGTCTCAGTAAATCTATCAGATGAGAGAGTTTGAAGAGATCTATTAAACTGAGATCTATGATCATGCTTATTTTCAGAATTTTAATAGAATTTTGATAGTATTCTGATAAAATAATTAGCTACTTGCAGAAATATAATAAAGAAAGTATGATTATTAATATTAAGATAATATTTATTACTGATTACAGCTCTTATTGATATATCTCTTTTCAGTAATTCAATCTCATCTCTTTATTTTATCAAGACTGCTTATTCACTTCATTCATATCTTTTCAACTATGCAACTTTTTTCTACAAATTATATCAGAAAGTAAAATATTGTATCTGTTTAATTAAAATCTGAAACACTATCTGCTATCTATCTCTAGACAAGAATCTGAGAATAATCAATTGAAATTTCAACATCAGAGTCTCTCTTTCTCAGAAACTGTAAATAAAGATTTCACTGACAGTAATTCAGATAATGATACTTTCAGTGAAGAAGTATTGCTATTCTCAGTAAGTTTATCACTTTTAATATCTCTATTATTATAAAAACTAACATTTTCTAAAGACAGAGTTATATAATGAGAATGCTGCTGATAATATTAAGTATATTAAATAACTTTTAAAAGCAGCTGCTGAGAAGAATATTTCTGAAAATAATGATTAAGAGAATTTTGATGAGTCAGTTACTGATAATATTGAAATATCAGTTACTGATGCAATTACTGTTACTATTACTGATTAATTTATTAATTCTGATTCAGTAATTGATATATCTCACAAACACAGTAACTTTGAAATGAATTCATTTATTCTAACAATAAGACTCTGAGCTGAAAAGTCAGATATTTTCTGAAAAAACTACAAATCACTACTGCAAATTCTTTGTTTATTGAAGAATATATTGCTGATAAGTCTGCTCTCTAAAGGTCTATCAACTCTGAAAAAGTAATGCAGAGTATAATTTCTGATTTTATCAGTTAAGAAAACCTCAATTTTAATAGTATTATCAATGCAAATATCAACTCTGAGTTCTACTCAGAAAAATCTCACTGAATTCTTTATAAGATTACTCTACTTTTAAAATCTGATTTTCTTGATATCTGTTCTTCTCAAATCCCCAACTTTTCAGCAACAAATGTATATAGAAATGACAGAAATTGTCAACAATCTTACAGAGTTATAACAATTTCACAGTTGAGAAAGCTCAGTCAAATATTATTCTAATAACTTTATATAATATTCATCAAATAAACCTATTTTTTCTTCTGATTTTATTCAGTATCAGTGTGAGAATCTCAAATACTTTTATAAATCAGAGTTGAATGATATATCTTACATTGAAAGAGTGTATTTTATCAGATATAATCACTGATATTCAGATATAAAATCTCATATAGTAATTCTGAAAGTTCAAGAAACTATTCACTATACTTCACAGACTATATAAAGATTACTATTCTTAAATTCATTATTTAGTCTCTTCAAAATAATTACAATGAAGAATAAGATGAAATATATCTTAATTATTCAAGTTCTTGATTAACTTAATATTTATATAAATACAGTATTTGAATTGAGTTCTGATCTGCTGATATATAAGAGTCAAGATCAGTATTTTCTTCATTAAGTCATGAGAATCAAAACTGAAGTTATTGAAATATAATTATATTATAAATCTTTGCTGATTCAGACTGAGTTGAAAATTGCAGTATATGATCAAGATCTTTTGAAAAGTATATTTTACTCTGATATACAAGTTATTTCTCTGTCATATCAATTATTTATTAATGAATTTGATTTATATCAGAACATATACTGAAGCTTAATAAGTTTTTATATAATTTCTGCACTAAGTGCTGTTGAGCACTTGAAGTGAAATAATATTTTTATTCTAATCTTTGATTCTTATAGTATTAATTTTTCTGACACTGTTACTGCATTGTTATATGACTTATCTATATTGAATTATAAGAGAGTTATAATGAATATCAGTAAAGAAAAGATGAGAATTGTTGCATTTTATATTGTATTTCTTGAAGATATGCTGCAGTAAAATAGCAATGCAGAAATCAAAGAATTAACTATAAGAAGATTATACTGAAGCTGCTTTATTAATGATAAAAATTGACTAAATCTGAACTATAATTTATATAATAACAGCTGATTTCATTATTATATATAATATCTTCAGTCTAAACTGAATAATCTACTGAATCTCACACATAGAGAGTAAATATATCAAGAGCAGAGTATAACAGTACAGACAGTATCTCTTTTTCAAATATACTTAAGTTTGAATTTAATCTTCTTTTTTTCTTCTGATTCATATCATAGTAAGTTTATTAATATATCAGAGATTTTATACTTATTACTAATCAGTACTGTCTTATTATCATATAATCAGTTAAAATACTTCTGAATATTGCAGATATTTTCTTTTTCTTACAGTTGAAATTATCTACAGTCACTGATCACTCATCTCAAGAAGTATCAGCTTTAAGAATATATTTAAGCTTTAATTATTATATCTCTTATCTTACAATGTGAGCTCAGAAAGAAATGACTCAGTCTGATAATTAAGTAGATTATTTCTGCAGCATTTTCAGCATTAAATCAATCATCTATTGATCTTATTATTCAGATATATGCAGTCATTATAAGAAATAATAGTCTATTAATATCTCAA